CATTCCTTGACCTGGAATGAAAAGAGGAGGAAGGCAGAGAGAAGCCAGCCCTCAGGCAGGCAGGGAGCTCTGTCTGTCTGAGGTTTTTCCCGCGACCTCTCTGGTTTAAAATTCTCAATTTGGTGGGATTAAATGGGACCATCTTGTATTTGCTTTTTGCCTCAATTTCTTGAAATACTGGCAGGAACAACTAAAAGTGATTTTACGTATAATATTTAATGTTGTTTTGTTAGTGCCAGTTCCTCGCACTCGGCTGTGTTCGCCCTTGGGCTGCCTGCAGTCTGCTTTCGGAATGGGGTCTGGTTCAGCCAGTCGCAGTCGGCAGAGCAATTGTCAGTGCTGTGCATGCTTCCCTTCAAGTCTTCGAAAAGCAGCTCTGTTCACGCTGAACAGATTTCTCCTTTCCTCAGTCTCGTGACCACGAAACAGACAGGCTGTGGTTCTGAAAGCACGCTGCCTGCTGCACTGCGCGTTACTGTGTTCTCACTGTGGCCGTCTTGACGTCGTTGGGCGGGTGAAACGCCTGCTTTCGTTACTGGGAATATCTGTGGCTGCGTCTTTTGAATTTCCTGTGGTGCCCCTTCTTCCTTTCGCTGGGCACCGTGATGTTTGGTCAGAGTGTGCCCCATTTTCTTGAAGAAAATGGCTGGTTTGGCTTTGGACGGCCTGTGATGGTTGCACGGGCCACCTGACTCAGAGTCCATTTATGTATTTATTTTAACACATTGCGGACGGATTCTCGCTTCATATCACACAATGTCTTACCAAGTCTCATACATTAAAAAGATATTAGCTTATAAGAACATGTAATAAATAACTTAAAAAATGCAATGAGTATTTAATTTTAAAGTGTGCCTTTAAATTTATGTAAAAGTTTTTTGTACTCGTTCAATTGAAACTTACCTGGCCACTGGGTAAAGCTGGCAATAAAACTACTGGCCCGCAATGTGTTAAGTTAGGGCATTTTTAAAACTTAATTTTTAAAAAAATTTTTTATTTCAGAGAGGAAGGGAGAGGGAGAGAGAGAAACAGCCATGATGAGAGAGAATCACCGATCAGCTGCCTCCTGCACTCTCCACACTGGGATCGAGCCCGCAACCCGGGCATGTGCCCTGACCGGGAATCGAGCTGTGACCTCCTGGGTCAACACTCAACCACCGACCCTGCCCAGCTGGGCCAATTTGTACTTCTTACTCCCTTCCCCTTTTTCTTTTTAAAAATTATTTTATTTAAAAAAAAATTCTTGACACCATTGCAGATGTCCGCCAGGGCAAATAGAAGCATGTTTTTGGGTTTGCGTTTTGAGCATTCGTTTTCCGGAGCTTCCACTTTCTGAAGCGCTTGCTCGTTTGTGGGCTAAACATTTAAGTAGCCAGTTCCTGTTGAGATGAGCGTCGTAGCATCGCAGTGACATGGAAGTGGTCAGCGGGTCCGAGGGCTTGTCCGCGGCCGTGGCCCTGGCTGGCTGTGGACCTGTGAGGCGTGAGGCAGCTGCTCACAGCGTGTGGCTGTGGCATCCGCCGAAGTGGTCTCTGCACATCGGCTTGTGAGTCATAGTTAACGCCTGTCCCGGCCACACCCGAGGGCCCTGAGCCTTTCCCAGGGACAGCCCAGGCAGCCCTGACTGAGTGGGGAAGAGTGGCTTGGGAGAGAGGTGGCCCTGAGGTCCTGGTCCCCGGTCTCACAAAGCCTGCCTTCAGGTGGCCGTGAGGAGCAGCGGTGAAACGGGAGGAGAGGTGACGGCGGCCCCAGGCTCCGTCTCCATCATTGCTCTGCCAGGCCCCAGGGACCCTTCCCGTCTGCGAGGAATCACGGCAGTTCTCGTAGCCGAGGCTGCCGCCCGGTCCCTCTGCTGTGTGGGGACACCTGTGACAGGTGTGACATGGTCACCTGGCACCGGGCACTGCGGCTTCAGAGCGCCCTCCTTCCAGACACCCCCCTTACCTCCCGCTGTCCTCGCCCTGTGGACTTTTCGCCCCCGATTCTCCACCTCAGCCCTGGGACTCCCCCCCACAGGCTGGGGTTGTGTATGTTTTCGTGCTGCGACCTGTCTTTTGCTGGTTTGTCTTTCGTTTCTGTCTGAGTCTCTAGATGTGATCGCTGCGGGTTTCTGAGGAACCCCGTCCCCCCGACGGGCCGGTCTCACCCCGTTGCTGGGCGGCCGGCGTTGTTGGTTAATCAGCGTGACGACCTCCCTCCCTCTCTGCTTCCGTTTCAGTTTGGAGGAGCAGCTGGGGCCAGCAGCCCCAGGAGTACCGGGACCAGAAGCCGAGGTCCCCCAGCAAGGACGGCCGGCAGGGCAGCAAGTCCAGCGACTCCGGGGAGGAGGCTGAGAAGGAGTTCATCTTCGTGTGAAGGTCACGGCCCCAGACGTCCCGGGCGGGTGCCTGGCCGGCCACCAGAGAGGCACCAGGGCTGCCCCCCGCCTCCTCGGCCTCGTCTCTCCTCAGCCTCATCTCTCGGTGCTGCTTCCCTTGCTTTTTCCTTCATCCTTTCTTTCTATTGAAACCAGAAACACAGCCATTTCTTGGTAATCGGAGCACATTTGCTTGGGCTTCTCTCGGCCCTCGGCGTTCCTGCCTATACCTTCAGCCGATGCCAGCAGTGCCAGCGGCCATACTTGAATTTCTCCTTGGCAGCTGCTGCTGCTGCCCTGCGGGAGGAGCGTGGGGAGGTGCCCGGGTTCCCACAGGGACACGTCCGGGTGGCCGTGGGTCCTGCCGCCCATGCCTGCGTCAGATGGGCACCGGCCCACGGAGCGGTTTGCTCTCACTGGGAGCGGTTTGCAGTCGCACCTTGTAATTACGACCGAGCACACTAATAAGCCCTTTGTATAGATTATATGTGCTGGGTCTTGGGGTGGTGTCTCCGTTCTCCCGGGGCAGCTCTTCGTCCCCATGCGGGCAGCGGCCTGGGCCTTCCCACCGGCAGGCACCC